TTGGGAGACACATTCACTATAACAAGTTAGAAAGGTCCTGAAACTGCATCCTCATCCTTGGTTGAACCCAGGGCAAATAAATGCATAGTGGCAATCGCTTACCCTGCTGCATGGAGACAGGCTGGAGAAGGGAGTGAATCCCCCTCCCCATGAGCATCAGTAGGCATGCACTCTCCGAGCAGTATTCTTACCAGGGAGGCGGATGCAGTAATTTAAACAAACAAGGCCCCAGTGATGGAAATTTCAAGCTCAAAGCTACCATATGGAGGGAAATCATCTGACCACAATTTACCTGTTAGACTTCAAAAGTGTCTAGGTCTCCTCTAAAGAAAAGCAGCCTTTTCTTTAATGAAGTTAAGTACTGTATTTCAGCACCGTATGTTGTGAAAAGGAAGCAATTTGGATTCATTTACTGAAATTTACCTTTCAGATGCAGTTAAGTGAAATTAAAAGTTTGTCTGAGTTGACAGAGTTCTGTTTTCCATCACTGCATTGTCTTGAAAGAAAGGATAACTGGCTAAGTGCTTAAATTCCATCCAAACTGATAAGGTTTACTCTATACAGGCACACTTAGTGCAGTTTATTACACATTGTCTCCCTTCATCCATCACTGGTATAACTTTTTTTTTTGGCCTAAAATAACTGTTGCTTCCAAAAGAAATTGATATTTGTGATGTTATTGCATTCATCTGGGGCTGAATAGTCAGCCCTGGGCTATCAGAGAAATGCCATTTCCAATTACAGGGGGAATTCATTTCATTTCCCACTAATGACAGGTTTTGCAGGGCTGAGCCTACATTTGGGACAATAATTTCTTTTACTCTCTTCTGATAACAATTCTTTTCCTTTAATTTCTCTCCTGTGCAAGTGATACATCTGTGTGTCCTCAGTGTCTTTCCAGACATTATCTTTACCCAGATCTCTTCCTCAGCAGCAGGAACGAACCTCTGAACTTACCTGTTACATCCTCTCTAATTCTTTCTTCCAACCACCGTATTTCTCCTTTTTACATCTCCCAGCTGCCATTGCTCCCTCCAAACCTCACAACCCCTGGAACACCCTCCCAATTATAAGTCCCTCCATCCCTGCCTTCTCCCAGGAGCTCTCCTCTGGCCCTGCCTGAGGGCCCCAGGAGGTATGAGGCTCCCCCACGAGCTGAGAGAGGTTCTCTGTTCTGTTGGGCTGGTTTTGTTTGTAGCCTTAAACCGTCTGCCTGCTAGAACAAAGGTATGATGATCCTGATCCAGCCTTCATAGACTACTCTGAAACATCACAGACATTTCTCTACTCTTTCAATTAAATGAGCAGCTCATCATGAAAAGCCAGTGAATGATCTGTAATTAATTATTTATATTACAAGGGGAAGCTCAGCTAACACAGTGTCAACAGGAACAATAACACACTGCATGCCAAACTCCAGCCTCCCAGCGCCAGGGTTTTGCCTTCCCTCCCGGCTGCCCCAGCTGACTTTTGGCTACAGGAGCTAGCTGGAGTTTAAGTTTTGTCTAAGTTCAGTTTGCTTCCAAAGACAGACTTCAGATCTGCACATTTCCGCAAAATCAAGTAGTTAAAGAAAATTCTCACTACTTGGAATCTCCATTTAATTTTGAATCTTGACAAACAATTTCAAACACAAGCTGCAGCCAGGCAGGACTTTTTCATTTTGTTTAGATTTGGGGGGAAGGAGGCAGAAGGGAGAGGAAACCACACATTTCATCAGCTTTTTTTATTTTTTAATAGCCTTCAGTGTAGCTGATTACCCAGGAGATCAGCAAATCTTAGCTCTGTCAAAGACAGGGAGAAGACAGAGCAGAAGCTTTCTCATCCTCCACAGCGGTACTAACCCTCCAACACACAAATCTAAACATTGTCCACGCAGGGGTGCCAACTCAAATGCCTCAGCTGTTAAGACAGAACAAAAAGGAAAGGACAATCTCCAAGGTATAACTGAAAGCAAATACTAATAATGATGTGTGACACTAAATGATGACTCATTTTTCACGAGGCCATTCCAAATTGTAGCTATAACCTCAGATCAGACCCAAACGACTGTGTGAGCCAAAGTTTTCATGGAACCATTAATTATGGATTTCCTGTCTTTTATAGGTCGGAGTCAGACCTTTGATGTTCCTTTAAGATTGTTCTCCTGTGTTCATTTCCTTTGTTTCTGTGTTGGTAGCTTAAAAAAACACCCCAAGATTTCCATGGAAGTGTATGAGATAGCCTAGAAATGCAGAGTCCATAAAAGCCCTGCAATTCATGGCTCATAAAGTCCTCTAATCCATGGTCAATAAAGCTTTGGAAAAGAGCTATATGAACCACAGTCATTTCACAGTTCAATGAGGTTCATACAAGAATCAATAATCTGGTTTAAATTCGCCTGGATTTGTCCTCCACCTGTATATTTCTCTTTGACTTTTCAGGTTGAAAGGCAACTCAAAGAGCTGAATTCTGGAGACCTCGCACGGGAACAATGAGTTTTAAGCAGCTTTCACCCAAAAGCCATAACAATGACCTAAATTCCTCTACTTTGTCTCCAGGGTGAACAAGTCCAGTTTCAGGTGCAACAGGTGAGTTAGGAAACTCAAACTGGCAGAAGAACCATCTGGAAACATGGGGCCACAGCTCAAGGTAATACTATACGCAGGCCACACAGAACATGGGGGGGCTCCAATTTAAGTGTATGCAAATGCACAATGGATCTATGGGACAGGCCAGAGTGTGAACTTCTAGTACGCTAATTATCCTCCAGAAATGAGTGCTAACAATCTCACTGTTGAGTGCTGGTGAACATTATTGAGGCAACACAGCATAAGTTCACATGCTTCTCTCCTGCACAGGTAACACTCCATTGCCCATCCTAGCCATTTCCTCCCAAGAATGATCATGCTAAGTGTGGTGACAGGCACACATTTCTGCTCTTTTTTCGCCAATCAGAAAGGAACAAGCTAGAGAGAACTCACTGTTTATTGCCTTGTGCAAGGTCCAGCTTGCCAAAAGCACAATATGCAGCAGCTGGTTTATGAAAATTGAGACCCCATCCAATTTATGGGGAAACCAGAGCTGGTTGTGAGTCTCTGAATTAGCTGAACAGTTTACATTTTTTGTTTTGTTTTGTTTCCAGGAAAACACCAGAAGTTACTCCAGAATCGTCGAAGCTCTAAAACCATCTGAAAGCTCTAAGGGAGACTTCCCTTCTTCCACCCTTTCCTCATTCCTAGGGCTGTGATCTCCCCCTAATATATCCCTGGGATCTTTCAGCAAGGCAGGCAACACACAACATCTAGTTCATCACCAGCGTGGTGGGAGCAGAAACTTAGGTTTCCTTACCCCAATCTCCATCCTTGTAAAATGGAAGCAGACAGATAAAAGGGTTTGATTCAGACGAAATCTCACAGGAGCACAGAGTGAATAATTTAACTCTAACTTGGGGAACTACCTTATTAAATACTTTTCTTAGGAATATTTCTTACTGAAATAAAAACAGCAAAAGGCACAAAAGTCTGCCAAAGCTATGCAAGCACCACTGCCTCAAGCCTCTAGCTGCACATTTCCACAGTCATATCAGGCCCCATGCCCAATATCCTTTCTGGATAGATAGGATGGAGGCAGAAGGATTGCACCTAACTGCCAGGCTCCACCAGATCTATTTAAGCACCTCATTCCTATGAAAGATACGGTAAGCTGGACCACACACCCTTGTGAAATGCTGGGGCACCATGGGACACCACGGCAAGCTCCCAGGCAGAAGAAAGATAGAAAAGTCCCCTGTCCTCAAGGCAATCAACTATGTTGAACCAAATGCCTCTTAGTTCATGCTTCCATATCCTCTGTGGAGAGGATTCAACCACTGAACACACTTTGAGAAGAAAAGACTTGCATCCTTCTTACCAAGGCTGGCATTAACCTCAGAAATAGCCTTACTACGTTAAGATTTATATGCACCACCTTAATAACAACCCTTACATCATTCACCCTGAGAATAAAATGAACTACAAAAAAAATGAGGCAACTGCTCCATTAAAAAGAATGAATAAAAATAAAAAATTCCCCAAACACAGATATGTGGAGTTTTTTCCTTAGCAAAGGGAGAGGCCTCTGAAAGACTCTGTCTCATTTTAATTGCAAGGAATTTAGGTGCTATGAAAATGGGAATAAGAGTAATGGTCGAAGACAATCATTACATGTATAGGCGAGCAGCCAGTTCCCAACAGATTATTTCATTCCTTTCACTTGTTAGGAGGTCTATAAACGTGTGGCTGTTTATCTGCCCATGACTTGGCCTGGACAAAGGCAGTAAGAGCTTTCCCAGTTTTAGAGGTGGGAGAATAAATTAACCTGGAATCCTAAAAGCACACATTGAGAAGCCCTGATCAGACATGAAGGCTCTTATTCAAACACTGAGTGTGAGTTTTTAACCTCAGATCAAGACTGAAATGATCAAAGAAATGTGCCTACCTCCATTCTCTTCACATAGAGGCCTTAGTTATGTGCTTCATTTTGCCTCAGATTGCTGTTTTCAGCGCAGCCTGAGAAGTTAAAATATTTCAGTCTCAGAATACAGTTAAGACTGAAACTCAGACATGTCTGAATCTTAAAAACTCCCAGGAATATTCTGCATGGTTGGAAAATGGTCAGGACTCTGGGCTGAAAACTGACAATAAAGATCGGAAAACAATGGTTGGAAGAAAAAGGGCAAATAAAGAATATTTTCCATTGTCATTTTCCCCCGTTCTTACTCCGACAAGTCTTTGTTTCCGTATATTTTAAATATTCTAAGCATTAGCTTTTTTCCTCTTTACTTTTAGATCAAACGTGCCTATAAGCCTTCTTCCTAGTTCTTCATTAGGCTCCAAAAACATCACCTCACTCCCTGTCTTTCCCATTTAGCCTTTCTCCAACCCTCCTGATGGTCGAATCAACAAAAGCTGTGATCTGTATAGAGCAACTAGTAAGGAGATCGCAGGGACAGGACAGGGACCATAAAAGTGATGACTCACCTGTCTTCTATCCGAACCCAGAGGTCATTGAACTGCCTCTGGCGATGGTGTTTGTGCTGTTTCTTGTGCCATTTCTTCTGCCTGCCAAACTCTTCCAGCTGGCTGATGCTATCTGGCAACAGGAGATGAGGAGACAGGCTGTCTTCTTCGTCCATCTGCAGGGGTTTCAGGGAAGGAGATGTCAGTGGGACCTGTTCGGAAAGCTGGACAGCGGGCAGGGCTGTTGCTGAGGATCCTTCCAAGGCTGGGCTTGTCTTTGTCATCCTTGAACTGCAGAACACAACATTTAAACATTCGATGAGTAAGCAAGGGATGGTGCTAAGAAAAAGTGAAAGCAGAGGACTACACTACTTGGTGGGTCCTCCTAACTGCTAAGAACGTGTACAAGGAGAAAGGCTTTTGCTCTGGGGCAGCAACTAAAGACAGCAGTGGCATTTCCTAGCAAGCTGTCAAATAAACACTGAACTGAAAAAGGGGGAAAAGGCAGCTGATATGTGATTGCTGTTTTCTGGCATTTTAATTACTTCTTACAGGCTTTAGAGCCTGTGGCAGAGGTCAACATCACCTCCCCCACTGGGCTGAAGGTTAAATGGGAAAACTGTGACTCCCTCTGAGATAAACAGATACCTTCACAGAGGCTGACCTTAAATCAATGAGATAACACTAGTTACCTTCTTTTTTTTTTTAACTTCGGATATCATCTGTGGAAAACAAGACAATGTTTTGACTGCAACAATAATTATGCTTAATCATTTCAGTTAAGAGTGTTGACAGGGAAGCCCAGACTGATGACAGAAGCATGGTCTAATAGCTAGGCTGCTGGGATGGGATATTTGAGACCTCAACTCTAGCAGTTTTTGTATAATGGAGAAACGAAGCAAAAAAGGTGGTAAATGACCTGTCCAAAGCCACCTTGAAACAATACTGCCAGCGCTCTTCACCCCTGTCTGAAATGCTATCACCTTTTGCATCTAACTGGAACTATTCAGAAAAAGGTCTTTAATTGTTTTCATCTTCTAGAGTTTCACTAATTTTAGAAAAAAGTCAATACAAACTCTCTCCTTTGATATGTGGCCATGTGAACTTACATTTCTGAACTAAAATAGCTGAAACAAAAATCTAATGAATCAGTACCGACACAAAGTGATTTTTTTTTTCCTGTTTGGTCTTAATTGCAAGAGAAGAATGTTTTCTGTCTCTGGGATGGCCCAATGAGTTACAGGTACAGAAAATAGAAGAGAATTAATAGGCAATACGAAGCTGTGGTCTGCAAAACTCTTTCTATTACATGGATGCTATGACTTTTATGATAGAAACAATTAAAGCCACGTGAAAAGTTCTGCCTCCTGAGTGAAACCAGTAAGATATTTTAATGAAAAAGTAATAAAAAATCCTAAACTTCATTGGTGACAATGTACAAAATGTGCTGCAAGTGAAACCACATGTTTCATTTACGGAACATTTTCTTCTCTTCCAAAAAAGTCACATCTGCTACTAATGGCAGCTTTTTTTTTTTCGTTTTTTTGAAGGCCATTACAATAGCAGTCAAGATGGTCATCTCTATTTCCACTGCACCATATTTCACCCAAAGGTCCTTCCAATAGCTACTGATAATTAATTGTTGCTACTACAAGACTCACTGGCAAAAACTACAGTACCTTCGTCACTTGTAGCCAACGTTAATGAAGTTCTTCAGAGATCATATGACAGATACAGAAAAGAAAGACGCTTGTTTAAACTAATTCTAAAATTCTCCAAGGTTGCTTTCATTAATAAAAGACACAAGAAAATCCTGTATTTTTTCTCTTCTTCCAACCATTCAGACTTTCAGTGAGTCCTTTCCAAACTTATTTAGACTCCTTGCTCTATTTTACATCACAGAGAGATTTGCTGGTTCTGGATTTTTTCCCCATTAAGACTTTCTTCCATGATTCACACCGAGGATGAGTTTTCATCAGTGCAGCAACTTTCTTTGAGAAATCTTGGTGCTCTCCGAAGCTTTCAAGACTTCTTAGGCTGAAGCAAAGCCATCTCCAGACTTGTAAAAGGAAAGGCCCTCACAGGTTTGCACTGGGTGGGTCCCTCAGGCCACAGCAGACAGTTCTTAATTTTTATCCAGCCATGATGGTGCATCAGTGAAGTATCAACATGCAAATGCAGCCATTTATCAGCTTAGAAGATAACACAGTGTGAACTTGGATAGGATGGCTTAGGCAGGTAGGAAGGACCTGGTCCAAGCATGTACAAACACCATGTGGGTAACTGCAATGGCAGCAGGCAGCAACGGGTGGCAAGAAAGCCCTGGCTTCACTGCCTGCTGCACTTCTGCCAAAGCAATGGGAGTACAAGCTGCTTGATACTGCCCAAAGACAGCTTGTTCTGGTAGTGCTCCGGATACCACTGTGTGGTGTGAATTCACCCAGGTCTTCCTGCAACCCTGCCCTCCATCTGCACACTGGGGAGAAGAGCACTACCCTGACCATAAGGCTGTGGTGGGCAGAAAGATCTTAAGATGGCAAGAGCATGGAGCAGACGTGAGAGCCCAAATAATGCGATCAATCACAGCTGGAACTGAGCTGTTGCCAAGGTATCTGTTTCCACTGACGACTTCTTGCCTCCAAAACTGTGCCTCATGTTCTGATCAGTCAGTAATTCCCCAAGACGCTGAAGGTAGGAGCAGCCCCCACGTCAGCCCACATCTGCCAGCTCAAGGCTAGGGCCACCATTTGGTTCCTTGAATGGTCTTAGAGACATCTGAACACAGATTTTCCACCTTTTAACACCTACTATTTTGTTATACGTGTTTACCTTGCTCTGAGCTCCTAGTAAACTGGAACCAGTAGAGAGGTGTTTTTATGGGCTGAGATTTTAGAAACCACTTAAGACGACTGGCAGCTCACCTCTTATTAAAATTAATGAGTTTGGGCATCAAAATCCCAGTGGTGGCTTTGAAAGTTTCTAGCTTAATTGTTTCCACTACCATCACATGAGCCACAGGTTGTAAACTCGATATTTCAGAACATTCTTTGGGAAGAGAATAAATAAGCACTGAAGAAACGTTAAAATGCTGTAACCTAAAGAGGGTTATAAACTAACCACTTGTACTTTAGAGTCGATGCAGGGGGAATATCTCCACTGTGGCAACTGAATATTAGATTTGGTCAGTACTTGTTCCATTATTCCTGTACTACTAATAATTACCGCAAGACCTAGCAGGGGCTGTTGAAGGCTGCATGTTGATGCATGCTTACTTCTTTCAAAAAAACACAGTTTTTCTAAACTGATTTAATAAATCTAGAGACCTGGTTGTTTTCAGATCTGATCATCATCCTACAGACATTCAGCCAGAAGTAAAATCAAAACTTTTAAGCCCACAGAATATGGACATTTAAACCAAATGTGTTGTAAGAATATTTAAAGATTTTAAATCAAAGTAAGGTAGACTTCCTATCAGAAGATATCTTTGCCATTCATTTCAGTAAAAATTGTATTAATACAATGGGCTTGAAATTATTATTCTTCTGGATTTTTTCCCCTCTAGGAAAAAAAAAAAGGACAAAAACCTCCCATCTGCAGTAGGATACCTGGACTATAGTTCTCCTCATTGCATGAAGTTTTACTGTTCAATTCAGCAGCCCATTTCATGGACTATTTCGTGCCTTTTCTTTGGTCTCAGTCTCAATGTACTCTGTTAGCACAGCTGCACTATATGAAACCATGGGGATATAATACACTTTTTTTTTTTTCCACTCTTTCACTACTGCTGAGACAGCTTTTCAAGATACATAGTTATTTTTAAAGCTAGAGAATAAGCAGGGCTATTTTTTCAGTTTGTGAGGCCACAGTGCCTTTTCTGAAGAAAGGGTGAGAAAGTACCACCCAAATATCTTGGTCCACACAAAGATCTCAGAGATTTTTCACAAATAACTTGACACAACTCCAGGCTTAGCGTTCCTCCCATTTTTAATTCTACCATTCCCACACAGGGTGGTCTTTGAGAAACTAAAAATATTTCAGGCTGTTAGGTGGATTTTTCTCATCTCTGACCTTAATTTCCTTCCCTGGGATGCACAGTTCTGCAAAACAAGTTCTCTAAAATAACAGAGTCCAAACAAGAAAACTTGAGAGTCTCAGCAGATATCCCACATAGCTTGGTCCTAAGGTACAGAAAAGAGAGTGAAAACAGGGAAACATTTATTCTTGCTAGTTCTTGAAAACCCTTAATCCACAGACGAAGATCTCTGTGGTTATGTTTCACTTCTGGTGAAATTTGCCATCCTTTTCTAATTCTTTTCAAGAATTCAAAGAACAAAACAAAACGTGCAAGTAGTTTAGGCTGAGCCGCACGCTCCACTAGGTTGTCTCAGCATTTCTCTCTCTGCCTTGTGGTCTCTAGCATCGCTCTGTGCTGGCACTGACAATAGAAAATTGACTCATCATCAGGATTTGCTAGGGTTACTGAGTGGATCTGGTCAGAAAAATATGACATTAACATCACAAAGTCCTGCAATAGCTTCTTTTCATAATTCCCAGGCTTAGAATTGCCCAGGTCCCACCTTCATTCAATCCCAAGCCACATGGCAGCCTGGCCATGCCCTTCTCCCTGCCCAGGCAAGCATCCTCCAACCCCTCACATCAGGTATCCAATTTCTGCAGCTCAAAGGGCTGTAAGCATCTCCAGGTTTGATAACCTCTGCTGTAGGGTGAATCAGAGTATCCATGACTTGTTCCTGCTCTGAACAGCCCTTTAGATCAGCCCACCTTCCTGCAGTGGTGGAGGCTGCATGGTGTTAACACCACACCTCGTGCCCACCAACGGGGCTTTTCCCAACCACCAATGCACTGACAGCTGTCTGAGGGGAGCATCAGCCTGGGCAGACCCCACTAACACCTCTGCCCACTGACCCTGCCAGAGTAACGTTAATAACGTCTGGGCTGAGTCCCGTCAAGCCTGCGCTGGGCTTCAGGAGGGCCAGGAATTTGCCTTTGCTTTAGCTCTTGCGAGAGGACAAGCCTTTGCTGACCACACACATCTTCCACACAACTAAATCATCAATCTATTTTTTCAGCAATCTTGCGGTAACGTTTCGGTTCCCTCAGATATGTGCAGAATCTTCTAAAACGCATGTTTGCCAACTTGCTCTTTGCATCTTGTCTTTGTAGCGCAAGCAATGGAAAAGTTTTGCTCAGAAGACTGCCATGCTTTGCACGCGCTTCCAAGTACAGCAACATCGCTGAGGTTTTCTAGCTTCAATTTTCAGAACCGTCAG